CAATTCTCCAGAAGTCGCCTAGTCTTTTTTATAAAGTTTGTTTTTTTTTAATAATGGCCTAAAGTTTTTTAGCAAAAAAAAAAGTAAATAATGGCCTAAAGTCTTTAATTATATGGAGCACATAGTCCCTATTTTATACAATCAATAAAGTTGGTCCAACACTCCACATGGACATGACTATACGTGGTGTGGATTTAGATCGATACAATTACTTCTATATCTAGACTATATCAAACAAACGAAAAAAGTCTAACAAAAACAAGAGTTTGTTGTAAGATCTTAATCCATGTTAATCATTGATTACTTTGTTATACATTTTTATTCAATAACATATAAAAAAAGACTTTGTTTATTTATATTTGAAATTAAACCCGTGAGGTTTCTGGAAATGCAATGATCGTGCTACACTTTTTAAAAATTAACCAAGTGCTCGTCTTCATCATGCTTGTCCCTTACACCCTCGTGGAATAAAGCTATTTTGTCTTAATTAAGAATATTCGACTTCCATTTTTCATAAGCATGTCCAATTTCGGTAAACTCGTCTCTTCCCCATACTTATCCTAAATTTCTCGTCCCGTTTCATTTTTAAAAAATTATTATTCATTCGAAACTATTTATTTTATTTTGATTTATATGAAATAAATAAAAGTATGAAACACATTATTCGAATTATCCGTTTGGAGAATTTGTTTTTTTTTTCGAATAATAATTATCTAAATTTTTCAAAGTAATTCATGACATAAATTAGTAAGAATTTAGAATATGAGTTTAGCTACCAAATCAGCAAAAAGCAAAAAAAAAAGATGTGTTGGGTCTACCGAAAATAAAGATGAATATCACAATTCGGCCTTTAATTTGATACTTTTTATGATATTGGTGAGCCTAATATTGGTGGGCCCATGGGCTTTATTCCAAATGAGGGTAGATTCGTAATTTCGGTTAGTATCTGCGAAGCGTTTGTTTATTTTCTCATTTAGCCCTAATTCCCGCCCATTGTCATGTAAAATTCAAAACCTTTTTTTGATTTTGGGGATTTTTTC